CCGCGCTCCGAGGTGCCTCCCCGAGCCTTTAAGTGAAGTGTAACATAAAACTGTGAAAGTTTAAGTGAAGGGGGGGAGGAAAAGAAGAAGAAGAAGAAGAAAAAAAGGAGGTTTCTTTCCTCCCACTGCCCTGGCCCGGCCAATGAGGAAGCAGCCCCACGCCTCCCTCACTTCTGACAACTATTTAGCAACTGAGCCCAGCTACAGTTTCCAAAAAAGTTAGAATAACTTCCTCTCTCCAAGACCTCAATTTTTGCACAACCCCGTCCTTGAAATCAGAGCCCTGCAAGCAACCTGGAAAACGTTTGCTCAGCAAAAATATAAACCCTCCTGTTTTTTTTATTTTGTGTTTGTTTTTTTTTGTTTTGTTTTGTTTTGTTTTCCAAAGGATCTGTCTCAGGAATTTTAAAGCGTATTTAAGACACACACACACAACACAAGGAGGGGGGCAAAAAAACCCCCCCCAAACCAAACCCAAGTCGCTTCCCCTCCCTTTCTTCACAGAAAGAATGGAAGAAAGTTCCAGCTCTCCTGTTTCCCCCGTGGATAGTTTGGGGACCAGTGAAGAGGAGCTGGAAAGGCAGCCAAAAAGATTTGGCAGGAAGAGAAGATACAGTAAGAAATCCAGTGAAGATGGCAGCCCCAACCCAGGCAAGAGGGGGAAAAAGTCTAGCCCCAGCTCCCAATCTTATGAAGAACTGCAAAGCCAGAGGATCCTGGCCAATGTCAGAGAGAGGCAAAGGACTCAGTCTCTCAATGAAGCCTTTGCAGCCCTGAGGAAAATCATCCCCACGTTGCCTTCTGACAAACTCAGTAAAATCCAGACCCTCAAGCTCGCAGCCAGGTACATAGACTTCCTCTACCAGGTCCTACAGAGCGACGAGATGGACAGTAAGATGACAAGCTGCAGCTACGTGGCCCATGAGAGGCTCAGTTACGCCTTTTCAGTGTGGAGGATGGAAGGAGCGTGGTCCATGTCTGCCTCACACTAGCCAGCATCAGGGTAAAGCAAACACAACTGCCAAAGGGGTAGGTACCTACATATATATATATATATCTATATATATCTATATATCTTTTTATTATTTGTATTGTTTCTAACCATCTCCTAGTGATTTCTGCCTCAGCTCTTGCTTTGCTTTCTGCAAAAGAGCACGAGCAATGAAAGCATCATGTCATCTATGCCGCAACATAGATCTGAATCTTATTTTTAAAGGGTGCGGGGAAGACGTTAGCAGATTCTAGTTACTTAAAAAAAAAATCCACAAGACAGGTAAGGCAGGGATTCAGGTGATAGTCTAGAATAGGGAAGAGGAAATCTCTCACTAGCGCAAGGGTCTTGGTGATTGTATTGGTTTCAAGTGCAGGCCACGAACATCTAGATTACAAGCTGAAGATCTTTTTACCAAGATCACTTTTTGATGGGTGGACACATTTAAAGAGGAGCAGATTCTAGTAAGAAAAATATGCTCTTTGCCTCATTTCAAGTTGATCCCTGCTGCTGCCTTTTGGAAGGTTTGCTACCAAGAAGGAAGCAATAAAAATTGAATGGCCAATACAATGAAATTTGCCAGGGCAGATTTCTTAGAGAAGTATAGGAGAGAAAGGAAAAGAATTAGTGAAACCTACTGACAACCAGATCTGAAACAGCTGCTGGTTGGGTTGGAGCATGGCTGTGTCTTAAAAGTGTCAGCATCTAGGAAACAGGCTTTAAGTACTTTTATAGCGTTGCAATTGCAATTGTGGGGGTTCAGCAAAGAATCAGTCCTGCTCTGATCTGAGCAATATTTCTGTACAGTCAGCAGATATCCTGTGCTTGTTTGCCTGGGCTGTGCCCACTTCCCCTCTCCCCTTGCAAATAAAAGTAAACACAGATAGAACGAACCCCTCTCAATTTCATATTCACTTAAGTTTCCCTTCCCCGCTTGTACCAGTAACATTAGGGCTGGTGCCAAACCCTTTTGGACTTTAACATAGTTTTTTACTTACTGAACTCTTCCTCAGTTTCCACTATAAAAAACTACTTCCTCTTATGTTTCCTTTTTAAGATTGTGAGGAGGACTCCCCCCCCGCCCCCAAATAATGCCCTAGTCTTACCGTAAGCACGCCAGCCCTATCTGTAAATTATGCTATATTTCACAGAGTTCACATATGTTCCTGTTGTTTTGTTGCCTGGCAAAGAGCATCTGAGATACAGAACAAAGCCAGATCAACATTTTGCATAGTATGAATGCTCTTATTAGTAAAGAACAGATAAAAGGGACATTCTCATTTTGAAGTATAACACACAGCAAAGTCAAATAATTGCATTTCCCAAATAGAATTAGCTCCTTAAAACAAAGAAAAAAAGAAAAAAAAGAAAGCTTGCTTTAGTCCATTGGGATTTGTTGCTGAAAATCGATGTTTAATCAACAACTAATGATTCAGACAACAACCATGATGCAACTGGCAAGATGCAATTTGAAAAAGCAAATGTAGGAGTAAAATGGAGATAGTGAACATTTTAGAAAATTTAGAAAAATTTGTGTTTCATTTGCATGTGAAACAAAGTATTTCAATGTCTTTACTAAAATCTCTGCGATGTCGTAATTAATGTTTCTATGGTTCATTCACAGAAACCTGTAAGGAGGTTAGTTTCACTAATCTAAAATGTCTATCCATTTCATTCTTCCAGACCATTTGAATTTTTTAGGTTATCTATTTTGTTAATATGGTCATGAATAAGACAGGTCTCCTCTGGTTTTTTTTTTCTTTGGTGGTGCTGTAGATTTCGATGCAAATAAAGCAAAACAGCCTTTTCAAACAAACTATAAACATTCAAACTCCCTTGCCATTTCCCTATTAATATGGTTTAAACTGACTGGAGCAAATAGTCGAACAAAAAAAAAATCTCCTTATGGGAATCTTTTGCTGTCTTTGTCAAAAACAGATGTAAAATGTCCCAAACACATTTCTTCAGGAGTTTAGATTGGCTGAATAATAGAACGCTACAATGGAACAATGCATATATTCTGTTGTGTCCTAACTTATGTGCTAGCATTAGCCAATGCTTTTTTATCTATTACCAACTGTATATCTTCCCTCAGCATTGTACAGTATATTAGGGGCAATAACTGGATTTTGGTTTTTTCAATTAATTTTTTTTAAACACTGTTTCAAGCACATTGGTCTGACAAGAAAGATACTGAAATAGAACGCAAAGAATGTATCTCTAAATAGATATACTAGACAACAAAGTTTGAATATTAATTGAAAAGAATGAAGCAGTTAAATTTAGACTTGAAAATTTCACCAAGCAAATGTATTCAGTTTGTGTCCTATTGAAGTAGCACACAGTAACTGGCAAACATTAGAACATCTTATTTATATCTCCATTATCTTATTTATATCTCCATTTAAGCCATGACTTTCCCTCCTTGAGAATTAAAAACAAAAGTGTGAAAAGAAAAAGAAAAAAAACCCCACACACAACTCCCCAACTTTAGAAAAAGTATATAGGTCATGTATTTTTGAGGTTGCACTGGTAAGAACGTTGATAAATGGCCTTGTATGGTGGTGGCATCTGGTTTTAGCACTTTTGGGCAAGAAAAACTGTTTCTGCCATCAACATTTTCAATGGTCTTAAGACACGTAGTGAAATTTGCAAATGTATTTTATTACGTTACATATTTTAGCAAACATTTGTCCACAAGTAGTAACTTTGATAGGCTGTGTAGTGTGCCTGACAGTAAAGACATAGGAGATGGCAAAACACATTTGAGACACGATCCTGCGAGTCTGGCAGTTTTGGGATGTGGAAGAATCTGTCCCTTGTTACAAGGATATTACCCGGATAGCTTCTTTTATGCCTGGGTTTTGAAAAGAAACAGACAAAAAATATTTCTCTTTGAAGGGGCTGTAGATCCTGTTCAACACAAAAATCAAGAGAGTTTTTGATTAGAAAATCAGAGCCTTGGGAGCTGGGAAAATGCCACCTGGCCTTCAAGAATGCCAGTAGGTGACTGTTGCTGACTTATCCAGCAATGAGAGGTTTTCCTGTTCTGTTCTGTGTAATTAGAGATAGCATACTCCTGTAGTTTCAAGTGAAACAGGCACAACTTCACTTCAATTAGTATTCCAAGTTCTAGGATGTTTAAACAAATATACAAATTCAGGTCACACGCACGTGCACACATACACAGCTCTCCAGCCATTTGCTACCCAGCATCTCAATGCTGCATCATCCAAATGCCCCCCCCCACCTTTTTTTTTTAAACTACTGTCTGAAAGGTTTCAAATGTGCAAAGATTTTTTCCATTATTTCTTTTGGTAGAAAGCACAGAAATATAGTAGGTAGGTGGAGATTAGCTCTGGAAGAATGAAAGATAGAACCAGAAGTTTAAATCTTAAAAGCATCAGTGGGGCAGTAACGATGATTTAGTTTTAAACCACCATGTCAGTAAGATCTATTGGCCGGCATAAACTTTTAAATTTGAGCTAACATCAGTAAGTCTGTAGTGAGATATACCAGTAGTTGAATATAAGGCCATACGCATTATGTGAATTGAGCTGTATATTAATAAAGCATTTGCAACCTTTATTCATTTTGGAAGATGTTAGTCAGTGATTGTAACATCCTTGTGACATCCTTGTGATTGTTCTTTACAATCTGATCATCATTTTAGGAGTTTCTTCTATGGGAAAAGTGAATAGGTTTGTTAGCATCCTTATTTTGTTTTGTCCTTAAAGAAACAAACAGATATTGTAGTCCTTTTCCCTGGAAATTACTCATAAAATACAGAACTTGGTTAACTATTGTTAACTGAAGAAACAGTGACATTGCAATTAAACCCGTTTATTTCAAAACATATTTTGTTTTTTTAAAATGCACCACTAAACATGAAAATATGCTTACTTGAGAGGAAAGATTTTAAAGTTTGGTATTTACATATTAATGCTTTAGGTTTTTCATGCTAGTGTCTTTAAAAGCCCTGCAAAATGCATTCTGGATGATCTGTTTATGTTTGTCTCTCTTCCGGGGAAAGAATAAATCTACTACACAATATCAACGAAATTCCTAGCACTTGGCCAGCCAATGCTCAAATATGAGATAAACCCCCAAAATAAAGGGCATGAGAAAAAGCCTTAAAGTAAACACAAAATTATATGAGAATCAAATGTATTTTGGGTGGTGCACTTGCATTAGTACACACATGAAATACCATTTTCCATTACCCATGTTTAATGGCTTAGCATTTCTGATATAAATTCCTGACCCTAGATTATTAGAGTATTCTGATTTTTTACACAGTAAGGAGAAATATTGGATCAAAACTGAATGACAGTTTGAAAGAATAACAAAAGTATGCTAGTTTTCAACTTACTGAAGTCAGTTCTATGGTAAGAGTTCTGTTGTGATGGAGATAGTAAAGGATCACTAAGGACAAATCGCAATGCCTATGCTTCATCTAAGTAGACCTAATTTGTCTCCATCAGTCATCTGTGCTGAACAGCTTCAGTTTTACAGTACCCAGACTTCTGTCTTTAAAAGAGAATCGGGTTGATTGCAACGTAGAATTATAAGTCATCCTTGTTCAATATCTTCTATCCTTTAAAATCCCTACTTTAGCTTTTGTGTTTTTCATAATGGTAAAGCACTCTTGCTAGTCTCTGCACTATCTTCTTTATTATGGAAGAGGAGTGGATTCTGTAACCAAAGAAATTTCTTTTGGTGACATATTTTGTCACTTGTTTCTCCTAGAAATATAATTAAGTGTACAACTATAGTTCTTAGAATCACTTCCATGAGGCTCAGGAGGAATTTGAAATCTCTAAACCCAGAGTCTTCAAAATTTGTGCGCCTTGCTTTAAGCAGGGAGAATTTCATGAGTGAATATACTAAAAAGTGCTGCTACAACCCACAGCAGAAGGAGAGCTGTGCCATCTTTGGGAAATTAAGTTGTTGGCTGGCAAAAGTGTAGAATTTTTGGTAGCTTTTCCTGTTCTACCTTCACTTGAGCTTTAATAAAGGAAGAAAGTAATCTCAGGCT